TCAATATTGGAAAATTGCCTTGCTCTTCAAAATCCCTCACCCAAAAAGTTTGTGTGGAGGGGTCTTTTGCCAGCATTACAAACATTGAAGTGGTCCTTTTCTGTTTGCGTGTAAAAACATGGAGATCCCTTCTGAGTGGAGTCCAACTGGAGTTGAAAAGCCATCTCTAATGTGAGAATTAATGAGGCGAAATGTGACTCTGTAAAGGAGAGAACATATAAGCCAAGAAGTAGATTAGGAGCATTGTGCATAATAAAAATATGGATACATGTAGCAACTTGGAAAAGCTTTAGAATTGAGCTTCTTCTGGAAAGAGGTCTAAATAGCCCTACTATCACATCAGTAGATGGTGGTGGTCTCCTGTTTTATTTCTGTTCTCATCTCTTACTTCCCTGTTACTCCCATCTTAACATCACTAGTGAACACCTGAAATTACTTATGCAGTCCTTTGCAGATACTGAACATAGGTTCTCTGAAGGCAGCTGTCCAAGTGAACGTACTCAGAGAAGCATCATTTGGAGTGGTGTTATGGGAAATACATGGGAGTGAAGTACCTCGTCCAGTTTATATGATGTACTGCCTTTGTCCGTATGATCCTACTGGGGACAATTTTAGGATACGTTTAAGAGGAATTCTTCCTCTGTGTATGCCCCCTCACCCTGTCCTTTTTCTTACAGGTATTTTAAGCCTATTGTAGTTACCAGGTCTGGATATAGACCCCTTAGGATTCCTCTTAGGAATAATATAACTTGCTGTAATTACTAATTTGATATGTTGTGGAATGATCACAATAAAGATTTTTCTTAACTAATTTTGACAGATTATCAGAAGAGGCGTGTGGTCTGCAACTAAGAAAGGAAATCATTTCAGTATGTTTACGTACTGCTTCTTAAAGACTCTCCTGTCACTGTTAATACTCTCCCATAAGCAATAGCACAAATTACATTTTAAGTACAGTAAGAAAAGAAATATTTTTGTGAGTGTTGGCATTTTTCTTTTATCAATGTTCTCTGCTGCTAGTGCACTAGTGGGTTTTCTTTATATAATTTTGCAGAAATGTGTTTCGCAAACAACTTTTTCATCATTTTTGCTTTATGAATATGTATGGAGTGAGGAAGTGAATTTGTGCTTAGGGAAAAGTTCAGATATATTAGAATTTAGAATTGCCTTACCTGTTTGGGCCTCATAACAGTATCTCATTCTAGCAGCGATGTTAGCATATATTAAAATCTTACTGTAGATTTCAGGTTTTGACAAAATAAACGTCTCCTTAAAACCTTGCTTTCTTCTATAAAGAGAATTTTGTTCTTTGTACAGTGATGGGACAGTGAAATATTTGGAATAAAATACTGTGCACAATGGTTGTAATATGCTAAAAGTTCCATCAGCTTCACAGAATGTGCTATACTTAATGAGGTAACTGAAATTTCCTAGGAGACGTAGGAGATGAGATAACATGGTGACTTCACTGTGCCATGAAAGAGCTGGCTGCAAAAGCCTTTCTATTTTTTTTTTTGTTTTCTTTTGTTTGTTTTTGGTTTTTTTCTGTTTGTTTTGAGAGATGTCTCTGTGCTAGTATTTTTGGTCAGAATGGTTTGATACAGGAAAGTGTGTGTGATGCTCTTTTGACTAACTGATTTTTATCAGGCAGCTGGGATTTGTATTCAAGTAAGGCTCTCAAAGAAATTTTATTTGAATTCGGTCTGTGCAGTTTCTCTCCCTTTCCCTCCCTCCCTCCACCCCCCCCCCCCCCCCTTGGGGTAGGGAGAAAAGGGGAAGAGTGCTTGACTTGTGGAAATGGGCAGAGCATCATACTGCAGTTTCTAGTTGTGTTGATGGTACATATGTTATGGAGAGATTCTGTTATTCTGGTCTTGTGGTGGTAGAAAGATAGATGTCTGAAGGAAAGTGTATGCTTTTCAGAAAAATGTCTGCTGTCCTTGACCAAGTGCTAAACAAGAATGGTGGTTGCTAACCACTGAGAAGGGGATGACCCTGTGACTGAAGTCCTGTTTTGTTTGCTTCCACCAAAACAAGTTTGAGTTCCTTTTAATCCCCAGCCCCATTTTGAATGGAGCAAGATAGTTCATTAGCCACTGATGTAGTTTGCGTGTTGACATGCTATTATGATTTCACAGTATGTTGGGATGCTTGTATCTTCACTGAATTTCAGTTACTAATGGGGCTATATGTTTTCCAACATTGTTTAAAATTCACATAATGTTTAAGGTGTAGCCTTAATATTGGAAAAAGAAGCTCAGTACGTGGCCTTCAATGTTGGAAATGTCCTGTAAATTGAGTGCTAAAACAAATGAAGTGTCTGAAAAGAATCACTTCAAGTAGAAAAAACTGTAATTTAATTTCTGAAAGTGGAAGGCATGCCTCCTTTGTTTATCAACAAGGGAAAAAAGAAACAGAAAATGAAGCTACGTTTGTGAGTGGAATAACGCTTATCACACTCAAGGTGAAACTGATTCTTTTAATGTGGCAGGATCAGTATGATGAACTTTTGGATTTAATTGGTCATCAGTTGTGCTGTGAACCGTTACAACTGTAAAGAATGTTTTTAGCCGATATGATATTCATCCAGCACTTTTTGTTATGGTAGAAGACTGGTAAAAGTACATATATTGAAGGATAAGGTTAAGAGCTGTTTTGTATTTGTTTGTATGTTTTATATGCATGTGTTTACATGACAATTCTGAAGTCCTTTCAACTTCTGATTTTGAGATTTTTGTAAATATTTTGTAAAGCTACTTGCTCAACTGTAATTTACTCTTTTGATGTGGAAGCATTTAATTGCATGCTAACTGTTGACAAAATTAATCTTACTTGCACAGAGCAGGCAGTGAGTTGAGTACAGCTGCAAAGTTCAGAACTATTCAAGAAAAGTGTCAAGTGTAGTAAGTGGTCAGAGGCACTTTTTTTCTGTAAGGGTTGCCCTTTTTCTGTGGCACTCGAAGTTTCAGCCCCGACTTATATTTTTGCCTCCCTTTAGATGATAGGAGGTAGACTCTGTTTTTCATAATTAGAGAGCATTGGACAACCAGAGGTGACAGTATTAACTCTTAGGTCAAAACGGATGGACCTGTGGCCCTGCTCCTGAGTGCAGTCTCTGGCTCCTAAGCTGTGCTTTTAGATCTGACAGGCCTGCCTGCAGGACCTGCTGGCATGGAAAGTCCTGGCACGAAGAGAAGCTGTGGCTTTGCAGAGCGAGGGTTTGTGTTTCACCTCGTGCCTCACACTGCACCACTTCCCTGGTTATATATAAGGAGAGCTTTTCTCATGGGCAATAAGGTTTTTGGGGTCTGCCTAATGAGAGTATGTAGAGATGTGTGATTTAATATCTAATAAAATCAGTTTTTTTTTTTTTTCAAGGATGCTGGTGAAACTGCAGTATGTGCAGATTACTGTGTATAATAAAAATGTAATAACCTCTACAACTTCAGTGTGCTAGAGGAGCATTTTAAATCTTGTACATAGTTCTCTTCTTCTTTAAGACATCACTGAAAAAAGCTAATACAGCCTTTCAAGCACCGGAAATCAAGAAAATTAGAAAATGCAGAAATTGAAGATTGGCTTAATCAAACAGCATTCCCTAACTAGAAAAAAAAAATAATGATATAAAACAGTAAAAATGGTACACTTGAGATCCAGTTGGTATGGGAACCTTAACTTTTGAAGCTTGTAATACAATTTAACATCTTTTCAGCCATTAGCAAGTTTTTGCATTGCTGCTGTTAATCGTTGTTTTCTTGCTGAAGCCAAGTGTGTATATACAGCATCTAAGGGTCTAAGTTGTTTGGGGTCTTTGCATAAATAATTATGAACAGGCTTGTGAAGTGATGCTTGGATTTGGCAAGAAAGGAGTCCAACAGAGAGAAAATAAGAAGTAGTGCAAATCTGTAAAGCTAAGGATTAGAACTGACAGAACAAATTGCCATTGAATAAATATTTTACCATATCATGGAAACATTTGTGAAAGCCTGAGATTGGTGGTCGTGGTCTAGGTATTTTGTCTCATTTATTTCCATACTGGATCTTGTCAGAGTAAATGTTTTAGAATTTCTAGTTTGGGCAAGTTTCTAGGCTTTAACTTTTAAGATAGTATTTCTGTTCTACAGGAAGCTCAAATATTTTTAGAAACTGCAATTCCTACAGGGAGATCAATACCTTAGCAATTTTAAAGACAAAATAAGCAGTAATTAGGACTGAAGAAGTTGGTCAGATATACTAAATTTTCAAATACTAATGTTTGCAGTGGATCTACAGTCACAGAACAGTTCTCTGGTGGTACAGACAGCTGTTAGCTTTTGTTTCTTGTTCAGATATTCTCCTCTAGCAACAGAAGAGAAAAGCAGAAGGCAGGAAATTAAAGCATGGTTTAAGTAAAGTAATATCCCAAAATTTAAACGACTTTTTCAATGATTTCTATAATTACATAGGCTTTAGTATTGATTTTAGGTTTGCTCTTTGGGGATACTTTGGGTTATGTGTAAACTTGCATTTGTCTTACTTTAAGTTCTGCCTTCATCTCCTCACTTGAAACCAGCTAAAACAGCAGAAGGTTACTTCTAAAAAATCTTCTGTTCTTTAAAACTTGAAATTAACAGTAGATTTAAAAGTGAGGTTTATAATTTATAGCATAGGAGTAGTGAATTTTAAGTTTAAAATGGCAGAAACCTTAAGAAAAACTTTCAATTGATAGTTTTCCAAGGTGACTGTGTGATTTTTATTTGAATTGTCTAACAGTTTTAGAATACCATGGTTTCTGTTTCTTATTTAATCCAAGTTTTACATTGCCCGTGAACCTCCCAGAAGTAGGAAAAGCAGGCAAAACCAGTACATGACAAAAGTAAATGGTTATATTTCTTCCCATTTGCATGCTGCCTTTCTTCTAGTTTTTTGGTAGTGTTAGAGATTTAAAGAACTATAGCTTTTATAAAAGGCTTTATTTTGTTTTGTTGGTTTTTTTTTTTTTTTTGGACACTCTCTTGCAGGATAACTTTTTGTCATCTGCCTTTCCAAAGCAAATGGCTATATGTGGGCACCGAAAGAGGAAATATTCACATTGTCAATGTGGAATCATTCACTCTCTCAGGCTATGTCATCATGTGGAATAAAGCCATTGAACTGTGAGTTTAATCAAGTATTGTCTATTGAGGGGATGGAACAGCAGTGTCCCAGATGTTGTTAATATCAACTGCAGAAATGTCATTGTTACCTAGTGTGGCCTCCCTATTAGACTCATTAAACAGACAATATAATCCAAGTATATTAATAGTCATTTAAGTACATCTTATTCTCATGAATGTGAAGTGTTACAGAGTATATAAACAAAGTATATTAATAGTCATGTAAGTACATTTTATTCTCATAAATGCGAAATGTTAATGTTAATCTATGTATCTGTTTCTGCCTTAAACAGTTTGATCATAGTGCCTGCAATGGAGATAAAAATCATTAACTGTGGTGATAAAGAATTAGAAAATTTAATGTATATTATGTTAAAGTATGGCATGTGGCTGGTATTTAGGGGAAATGTGACTTTTATAGTTGAGGGTTAAGGTCCAGATGGAGGTGATTAGTTTAAGGTCAGCATCATCTTTTTTGTTGCAAATCTTTCTTATTTGATCAGAGGCTGTGATGCCCAGAACTCTATATAACATCAACATGTTTTCTAGAATACTTAGCTTCAGTAGTCCTTATCAGATCACTTCCAGAGCATAAAGATACATGTTTGGACATGACTAATATATACTGAGTATGAAATTACTGGCTGTAAATGTAAATTTAAACGAGCCTGTTCTGAGGACAAAGTATTTTTTTACAGCTACTTTCGTTTCACCCCCTTTTTTAATAATAGAATTGTATATGAAATGTAGGAGTTTGTAGGTGAAAACATATGTCATATGTGGTTAAAGAGGTATTAAAACTAATATTTTGTTCCCAGAATGTTATATCTGTCTTTAAAACATATATGAAATTCATTACTTACCAAAGACTTTTAAAATAAACACAGGAATAGTCCACCTTCTTCAGTAGCAAGAAGCCAACATAATACTGTTGGCATAAAACTGTACTGTTTTAATAATGTCCATACTTGGACAGTACATGATTAAAATTAGAAACTGTTCAAATATTAAAAACGACTGAATGTTCGATGTCTGGAAGTGAGCTATCCCCTTCATTGCACACAAAATGAAGGCAGGTTTCTGATTTATTTAAAGCATTAAAAACATTGCTAAGCCTCTCTTGAGTTTTGTTAGCTATTCCAATTTGACAAACTGTGTTTTGGGTGTCCTATACCATCCCATTCCTCCCCCTGCCCCACCACAACTGCTTTCAGAAATACCTCAAGTCTTGAAAGACAAAAGGCTCGCTAATAGCTAAAGGAGACTTCTTGCAAGACTTGCTTCTTCCAGCATAAAAATAAAATTGTGTCCAACTGTGCCAACTTTGTTGTAACACACATTTAAATGCAGATAAAGCTAACAATAGCTTTTTCTGCATTGGAAATAAGCAGCAAATGAATTCTGTTTCTTTTTACAAAAAGGGAAGATATAAATGCTTAAAAAATAAGTAGAAAGCATTTACTGACTTGAAGATAAAAGTACAAGAGTGACTTCACGCTGGAATGTCATTAAGTCTTAAAATAGCTTACATGGAGTTTATAGCTGCAGATTTTATATGTCCAATGTGTAAGCTTAAGTTAGGTTTAGCTTAATCAGTGTATTAAGGAGTCTAATTTCATTTTTTGAAAAAGTTGACTGCTTCATTGTTTGTCTGTATTTCTTAATGTTTCACTGTGAAAGTAGAGAGATTTAATTTTTGTACCACTTGCAATCATTTAATGAGGTTTTTTTTTTGGTAATAAAATTTTGCGCAAGGGGAAACTTTTCTTTTAATTAAGTGGATATGTTTCTTGTTTAGGTCATCCAAATCTCACCCAGGACCTATTGTCCATATTAGTGACAATCCAATGGATGAAGGAAAGGTAGTATATGTGTAAAGACTATTAAATCATTGTTTTGCAAGTAAGATGTTTTATTTTTGAAAGTGTTTGTGAACACTGCTGCTTCTTAAGGAGGGATTGAGTAAAATGATGATGTTGGAAGCATGAAAGGAAAGATAGATCAAGATTTTGGTATCAAAAAACAAAAAGCAAAGTACAGACATAATGCATCTTGTAATTAGCAACATTTGAAAACAGAGGTGAAAGTGCTTAATTGCAAAAATCCTTGAAAACAGAAGCAAGGAAGCTAAAGTATTGTGGTAAGCAGTATGTTATTGACCAAAAAACAAACCTAACCTGAGTGCAGAAGTAGTTGCATGGAAAGTAAATAAATTTTATAATGGTCTTAGGCTATTGCCGTTTTAGAACTCTTAAACGCTTTGTGGTCACTGAAGTATATTTATATAGGATGTTATGTACTTTTCTTTTGTTTAGCTAATTCAAGGCAGCAATTTTGAAGGGATTCAAGGTCTAACTGACCTAACGTTATTTAGCAGCTATAATAAATCACATAAAACCTAACTGGCCTGTGGTACCACTGGGTGCTTCAGAAAAATCCTCTTGACCCGAACATATTAGAAAGAACTATGTGTTAGACTTCTCATCTTGTGAGATAACATTAATAACATGATCTTTTTATCTTGATAAAACTTTTTTCACAGTACACATTCTCACAAGACGCCCGTTTTCATATACTGTGACACAGCGGCCACAAAGCACAACTTGATTTCTCCCTTTACACTGGGAGCAGTTGATTGTGTTAAAGTAACAGATTCCAGGAAACCCTCAGAAGGCTGTATTAAGGAAAGAAATGCTTCCATTTGTGCTGGAGTAGCATCTTGTCCATGTTTTCTATGTGCCTTATTCCACACAGCGTTGCATGTTGTAGAATCATTTATGCATGGTCAAGTGTGTGGAGTGACACTGCATATTTTGATTCTGCTGTAATGCACTCACTTCAGTCATATTTGCAAGACTGAGTCTATGCTTCAGGTATCTGATCTCTCCAACAAGTCTTAGGTTGGTACCATATGGATTACTTACCCTTTTGAAGGTTCTTCAGATTCTTTAACTTGTGTGCTTCTTACAGTTATTTAGAAGATCTAACTGATCCACTGCAGCTTCTATCCAGATGCTGTGGTGCACACTGAAGAATAACCGTGAAGGATTTTCCTTAATCTCAGCAGTAGGAATAAAGCCTAATATGAAAGAGGGTTTTGAAAACAGTAGTCTATATGCATCTCTTTTCCAAAACGATGTAGAGCCCTGACAAAAGCATGGTCATAATTTAGTGAGATATACCAGAGAGACCTAGATGTCCCTTTAAACAGGTTTTTATTAATGACTCCCCTCTAGAGTGCTCAGGTCTAAGTGATTGAACAGATTGACTTAAGTGCCAAATGTTTATTTTTGTTGGTGTGAACTCAGTTTTCACACTGTGTATTTGTCAGTCTTTGGCATTCACGGAAATATTCCTAGGATGTTTTGAACTCCCAAATGTGAAGAGTCTTCTAGGAGAAGGACAGTAATTTTGTTTTCTCTGCCCTATGTGCAGGAGAAATATAATTTTTCTGCTTACCTTTTTTTATTTTGACACATTTACATTTTAAGTAGTGAGTAAAAGTGCAAAGTTCAGGGAGTGGTAGTTACGTCTCAGCAGTGGTTTGAATGTTTTAATAGCATACTAGCTTTAAGCTTGTGTTGTAGACTCCTGAGGATTCAGTCTAAGAAGGAGAATTTTACGAGTAGATCTTTTGCATTTGGATCGAGCTCACTGAATTAAGTGCGTGACTCTAATGCTTTTCCCATTAGAGTTAAGTTTGAATCCCGTTCCAGAATCGTGGGCCCTGGAGTATGAGTGAAGGTAGTGAAGCTATGGTGACTTCAGAAGAGACAAATGACCTATTGGTTCTGGTGAATTCCACGCACCCTCCTCCCACTTAGCCATTGTCAATTAAAGGTTAAGGCTTCTTGTTTTTTTTTTTTTTTTTTTATCAGTCATGGTATTCCTCGGTGTTGTAGGATTGGCCTTTACATTTCTCTCCTTTCTCACAAGAAAGATATTGCTGAAAATAAAAGCCATACAATTGCTAGAACCTCCTGTGTACGACATTTTTAAAACTTGCCCAGGCTATTAGACTGCTATGTGTTGTGATTTTTCTAATGTTTAAAACTAAAATAGGAAAGGAACAAAGTACGTATCTTATTTTAAAATATCTTCCTTACCATAATGATATGCCTGACAGTGTAGTGGGGGAAAAATATCTAATATTCACTTTACCAGTTTACTTTTTATTTCACAGTTTTACCAGATAAATATATTTACTATTTTAGGGTATTCTAGTGCTGTAGAGCACTGAAATATATCAAATATTTTATATTTAAGCTGCTAGGAGAACCTCTATTATTTTTCATATTTGAACTAACTGATTTTTCATATTTGAACTAACTGGTGACCTTGAAAATGTTTACATGCTGAAAAGGCTGTCAAGTCAAAACTTCTAGGGACAGCAGGAGACCAAAGTGATGTTGATCTCCATCCCTGACTACACAGGCATGTATACAACGGCAGTGTGTTAACTGGGTAGCTTGAAGGTTTCTTGTTTGCTCACAGGAAATAGGTTGTTTCGACAGCAAGTAGATCCTCTTCTTCTGTAGCAACATTGCTCAGAGGGAGGATCTCAAAATGGGGCTCTAGCTACTGTGAAAGGTGAAGCTTCATTGCCCTCTTGTAGTACGTAACAAGTACCAAAACTGTTACTACTGCCTTATGTTGAGCTTGTTTTTCTATCTAAAGTGGCCTTTAAGGAAAACAAAACAACTTAGATCCTCAACAATATGTTAATTCAGATCTTTGTGCCCTGCAGAAATGGTTTAGAATTTTGCTTCTAGGGAAATGATGATTTTGAAAATGACTTAATTTCTCTCTAGGTTTCCTTTTAGCAGCTAACATGTTTGCCTTAGCCTTCCATTAGGCAGTTTTCTCAATAGTGATTAACATCTGGAGCAAGTTTATAGCACATAGTTTCCTTATAGACAGTAAGCGGTTACCTAAAACCTCAGGAAGGGACAGTGTGTTCTTCCAGCTAATCTTAGCAGACCGGATGGATGCCAGTGAGCGAGAAAACAGGTTAGTGAATAAAAAGCAGTTGTGTGTCACGCTCATGTTTGTGTCCACCCTCCCACCCCCATTTTCACCTAGAAAGGATTATCTTCAGGAAAGAATTTTACATCGGCTGTTATGGGACACAAAGGGATTTCCAAGGACTCTTCTGAAGATAAATGCAAAATATTTTCTAACATTGTATTAGCTTCAGTTGTGTTAGCGTTGTATTAGCTGGAAGTTTAGGAGAACAACAAAGCAAGTACAAAGTAAATCACCTTTCAAATAGTGAGAAGCTGTGAAAACCTCAGCAATTTCTGTCTTTACACAACTTCCAGTTATTTCATTTAATGTTATGCTGTATCTCCATGGGGCAAGAGCTATAGGTATTGTAAACAATGTTTTTTGCTTCTCTGTATGAAGACTTAATGGTTATGCTTATTATTGCAGCTTTTGATTGGCTTTGAATCTGGAACAGTGGTGTTGTGGGATCTGAAGTCAAAGAAGGCGGATTACAGATACACACATGATGAGGTAATAAGAGGGTTTTTTTGTCAGTGTTCCTTTTTCAGTAGCACTTCCTTTGTAGTTCTTCCTTTTGTGAATGAACTGTTTTTTAAAATGTTTTCTTTAAATGAATAGTAGTATGCAGTCTTCCCCGTACTGCCTAGCATTTATGCAAATGTATCTGTGTTACTTATAAAAAGGATATCATTTGCTATTCTAAAGATACAGTTTTTGAGATTCTATTTATTTCTTCTCCTGCTCCTGTCACCAGCAGATCAATAAATAGGTCTTTTTGAAATTGCAAGTATATGAAGCTTTCTCTAAATCTAAAACAGCCCTAGGGTTTGAATAATAGAAACTTCAGATTGAATAAGTGTCTATTAAGTTGAAAATTGGTGCAATAAGTGGTAGCATGGATTGGATTTCTCTGCTAATTTGCATGGAGGGACAATTTTTTTCAGCTCTTCATCCATTACAGAGAAATGTTGACTCTTTCACGTATGTTAAGAACTGGAGTCTTCACTTGAAACAGGATGGTGCAGCAATCTACAATTTTGGAATCTTTCAGATACTCTGAAATGTGATTAAAGAGAAACCACTAAACTGACTCACTAGGATGTTTCTGATAAATAAACCTTTCCTTTGTGTGTTAAAATCAAGGTTTGAGTTCAAGCTGAGGGAAGTTTAAATTTAGCAATGGTTGAATTATGTTTATTCCTTAAAACTTGATTTTGAGAAAATATAGGCTGGTAGAAAGACTGAGGTTAAGAAAAATCATTCAACATACTGTGCATCTTTATATATTTCATTTAAGGTTATAGCATAAAATCAATGATTAATTTATTGTAAAATGTCTACATCATTGTTCACTACCAGCTAGGCATGTTTCTCCTTGTATCACAAAGGGCATGATGTTTTCCCTAGTCGTCTTCTGAAGTTTTCAGAAGACATGTATCTTTTTGCTCTGGCTCGGTACAAATAGTGTGTTTCCTCTAGGAATGGAGAGTTTCTCTGAAGTGGGGGGGAAAATCTCTCAAAAGCCTAAACATTAGTGTAGTTGAAGATGATTCCATGACAGAAGGCGACCAAAATTGAACGAAGATGAAAACAAATGCTGATGATATTCTCTTTAATTCTCTCTCTCCCTGCCCCCCCCCCATACATTAAATCTCTCTCTCGCACGAGTGCACGCTGCTTGTTCATTAAAGCTTCTAGAGCTTGGTTTGCTTTGTGTTTTCTGGAAATCACCAGAGCTGGTGATATCTTTCTGCTCAGAAATTCCAATCTGAGCCTCAAAGTACGTTATGTGAAGAGCAATCTCCCTCTGTGGGTTTGTTATCCTACCTTCTCATTTCGTTGCATACATCTAATTCATTCCCTCTCTATCACTTGATTTTATAGACTTCTTTGTATCTCCATTGTCTTTTTCTAATCTAAGTCTTTCCTAATATTATAGGTCTTTCTGTACCTCTTGTAAGCTCTTCTTGCTCTTCTCTGAAGTCTTAGTAGTAGTTCTTATTCTTGCAAAATAATAAAATTCCAATAGTTTTTATGGACAGTCTCCTTAACAGAAAAGAGAAAAGCCGTCTCAGTTGCTCAACACTGAAAGAAAGCACTGTAGATAGGTAAATAACTTGAGTTTCTGAGTCTCAGACAGGTAACACCATAACTGATATAAAGAAAAAAGTGAGTGACTGACAAGCAGTATTGGAATTCTCGTAATAAGATAGTAAACCGTTCATTCTAGTTCAATAACTTAGCAATTCAAATAATTTATCCAAAAAGGAAATATCTGTATGTGTATAGTAAGGAAATCGTTTTTTTTCAGTGATAGACTAGTACAGTTGTATAGATTTTAAAGTAGAATGGAAACTCAGAAGTGGGGGAGATCATGAGTGACTTGAGCAGGGCACAGAGGAGGATGCAACTAATCACAGTTATAGGTAAGAGAAGCGACCAATAGGCAAAATTTTAGGCAGAAACAAATTATCTGTGTCCATGTGAAATTTGACTGATACATCTTAAATTTTGTTAAAATATTTTTGAGGCTGACATTAGTTTCATTCTCTTACCAAACATGGTCATAGTTTTCTTAGTAGCATGTAATACTGACCAGAGTTAAAATAATACATTAGTCACAATGAGATGGTGTTGCATCTTTTTTAAGATATGTTACAGAAGTAAGCAAAGTATTTTTACAAGAATGTTATAACCAAGATGTAATACTGTTCAGAACTAGTAGGGTTAAGCTTCCTCCTGAATGGCTTTCTGGAAGAAACATGTTTTTCTTGTGGACTGGAGAGCTAAGACCTCCTCTCCCTTTATAATTAAGGAGACTAAAAACTCATAGGAATATTCATTCCTTTTTCTGCTCCTTCTGACCTTCCACCCCCAATAATAATTAGCGTGACATATTGCAATACTTATTATAATTGTGACATCATACCAAGGGCTTTGGTAAGATTGATTAGCTTAATCTAATATAAGATTGTGCTGCTACCCAAAGAGGCAGCTTTGCCCTGACCCCAACTACATCCTTCCGTCAGTATCTGCGGCTGCATGGCGACAAAGCAAGTCATAGTATTAGAATTAACTCTTTTCCTCTTTTTCCATAACCCTAAAGAAGAGTGCTCACTTTGAAAGATCCATTACACATGAAGACTTAAATTTCAGGGAAAATCATCAGATAATATAGCAAAATCTTGTGGCAATATAGCAGTTTTCTTTGTGCAGGAAGAAAGTGCACGCGTACATTCTAGCATTGGTGCAATAAAGCCTTATCTCACGGGATCTCCTGCACAGAGCAGAGGCTACTCACTGCCATTTCATTTCCTGCCAACAAACCTCTAAATTTGAATACCTCTGTGCATAAAATTTTTCTAGCTGTTGTTTCTTGCTGATTTCCTGGTTCAGTGACTTTTCCCAAAGCTTCTTTCATATGCTGGCTGGAAAGACTGTATTCCATCCACAAATACATTTCAGGTGCCTCTTCTACAGAGGGTAATGAACTTGATGTTCTGCCTTTGTAGTAGGAGCAGAGGACTCTTCTTGGTTCATCACTTGTTCTTGATGAAAGGCTCTTCTGATCGTGCAGTTGACAACCAGTAAGAAGAGAACAACTTACTCTGGACTAGGCACACTTGAAAACTCCTAGTGCAGGACTCCTCATCAGATGTGGGAAATACTATCTGGTGAAAGGTCCACCTTCTTTTTTCCTGACTATGCTGCTGCCCAGTCAGACCCCTGAAGTGTGTGGTGGTCACTTACCTTGGTGAAGCAGGCCTGCTCATTAGCACTGGGGAAACTTTCTTTGACTCTAACCCTATCACAATATGGTCAGCTTTTCTGCCACTAGTTCACCATGTGGCCCCACCAGTTTAGTAAAATCCATCACCACTCAGTCATTGCAAAGGTGATCCCTGACTCTATCCCTGTTAACAGATTGCTGTGCTCCACCTGTGGCATGATGGGTGCTGCTGCTGGGCTTTCCAAGATTGTCACTAACACGACCAGGCACTGCAGTGCGACTACAATTCTGCATGCCAGCTACATGCTTTGCATTTCTGTCAGGAGCTAGGAGCTGGCTCCTCTCCAGGTGCACCGTTTCTTCCCAATTGCAGCACTGGAAAGCACATACACTTCTCCTATTTTTTTAAATGATGGTGGCTGTCAATGAGTGACAGCGGGTGTTGTGAACTGGGTAGCCAGGCACATTAATACCATAAAGACTGTTTTTTTCCTGGAAACCTTGTCTTTGCAATAGTCTTCTCCACTGTCATCCTTGTTTAGTTGGCATTGTTCTTCAGAACATGTAACTCATGGGGCTGTGCCCACAGCAATCTACCAGCAGCATTTGACGTAACTCATTTTGACTCAAAAGGTCAAAAGTATCCAGAGGTCCAAATGTCATCTTCTACTATAAGACAAGGAGGACCGAACTTCCTGCATGCTCAGACGCTTGTGGCAAGATAGCTGTGCAACATCCCCAAGGAAGAAGCTGAATCCTGCTACAGCTTTTTAAGCTTCCTAGTTGGTTTCGTTCAGAATTTCCTGAGCATCAAGGAGGCTTAGAACTTTAAAAATGAAGAATTTTCAAAACAGTTGTAATTACAAAACATTTTAATGTATTTCTCCTATGGAATACACTTGATTCTGCAGACATTTCCCATTCTGTATTTGCAATCATGGAAGAAATTTCTCAAATATTTCTTGGTTTCTAAACAATAACAAGTGCAACTTCTGAAAACTAACTTTTTTTTGAGTTCTTTTTTAAAGCAGCGTTCTGCTTATTCTGGTTTAAGCTAAGCTTTGATAGCATTAACTGAGCAAATGTATTATAGATTACTATTTCTAGACTCAAATCTTTTGGTGCATGGCTGAGTGTAAGAGATTATTTTACAGCATTAAAAACATGTCAGAGTAACCCATGAGATTTAAACAAAAACGAACAAAAAACTCCCTCATCTATGACTTGTTGGAAACACAAGCATTTCTGTGCAATCATTATGCCCTTTGGACATTTCACTGCATTAAAATGAGCTTCATGGGAAATACCACAGTTTAAGTCTCAGTAGCAGCTTTCTTTAGTTTCTCCTTGTGGCATTTTTTTTCCCTTTCTTTTTTAGGCTATTAACAGGATAGCTGGCATAGGTACTCCTATATTGAATGTTTTGGTAATCCTGCACAGAAGGAATCGGTGTTGTCAGTTCAAGTTTACTAGAAAATACTGTCATTTCTATGCAAGAAATGGAGTACTATCATAATAGGACAGTGAAATCTGAATAGGCTACAGCGAGCAGCATCACCAATAAAGTAACTAAGCTCCTATGATGAACTTGAGCAGTCAAACACAACATATTCCAAGCTCGATTAAATGCACGGAAAAGTAAAGAATCACAGTCAAATTCAGAGAATAGTAAATAGATTTTCCTTGATTCTGGTGCATGAGTGCAGGATATTTTACCAATACAGATCTACAACACTTGAAAAGCAAGCAAGGAAGCACCTTTAAAAGGAAAAAAAAAAAAAAAAACAAACCCACAAATTTACCTAGATTGGTTCTGAGTGGTAGCAGTTGTATTTTAGTTGTATTTGCAGTAGTATAAACTTGGTATTAGCATAATGTGTCATTCTCTTCTACTAAGTCTTGTAGAAACAGCTTAGCTAAATAGCTTTCATATTCAAATCGAAGTATCTGTGTGTTTCTGCACATATCTTGTCTCACAGGAAAAGAGGATATGAAGAGAGGCCTCAAACTTTTCTGAAATGAGATGCATGTTATCAGCTATAGGGTTAAAAAAAGTGTGTAGGAATTTGAAAGAAAGGGATTTTTTGTATATGGTATTTTTAGGAACTGAAATAGTTACACGCACGCCCCCAAGTGAGTGAGCAATAAGATCAAAACTTGTTTTTATCGATCAGTTTAGCTCTTAAACCATACATAGAGAGTGTTTTTTATAATTAATCTTGATTATTTCTCTGAAGAGCCAAGAAATCATAGGGATTTCTAGGGATATTGACAATCTATTGTAACAGTTTAAAAACAATTTTAAAATGCACGGGTATCTTTAAAAGCTAGTGATTACTATTTTAAAGACATTTCTACAGGAGGCTTGCATATAAATGCTTTTAATTTTTTCCTCTCACTTTTTCAGCTTCTCATTTGTACTTGCACCTTACAATCCCACAGTCTCACTCAGCTAAGTGTTGCGGGCATTGCAAGAATATGTTTCCCTCTGAAAATCAGAAATATTCACCTTCTTTGCAGGCAGCGTAGCAGTCATGCTTCCACAAGGGATAATACTTCTGGAACAGCTGGTGAATGTGAGGCTTCCTGTGTGCACAGCCTGTCTCCACATAATACTCTAGGATGGTCAGTGTCTACATTTTGGTTAAGTCTTGATAGGACAATCAATCTAATCATGCTGATTTTATTACTAGAAAAAGTAAGAATCAAATTTTTTCTAGAAAACATGTAACTGCCTCAGAAAAAGTTTTGAAACCACCTTTTCATATAGCCCAGGACTCCTACCTTAACTTAGAATCAAAGTGAAAGGTGTGGTAGGATTACTTTATAGCCAAAGGTTTCACACTAAATAATTAATTTTATCTAAATAAATCTTTAAATTTACTTTTTTATGGAGCATTCCATATACAAGTTACTTGTACAAGTTCCTAGTACTCAGGGTACGCTAGTAAACAGAAGTGTTTGGAGTGTAAGTTGTGTCAGGTCTGGGGCAGCCTGTGCAAACAGTTCTTCTTCAGGATGCAAACAACTTGTGCCCTAAATATAGCAACAGTTCCCCGTGGTTGCAGTGTGTAATGTTGTGGTAAGAGTTTGTCTGTTTGGGGTCCAAGTGACCAGTGATATAGTCCACAAAAAAAATTTTGAGATACAGTTGAATAAAAGCCCTGGCTGATATAAGCATACTGCTGTGTTTGGGTACCAAAAGGGTACCAAGTGAAGTTTTAAAACCAAGCCAGAGAATTACGATTAAAATTTGAAAGAGTTATGTTATAGATCTGAAACATTCATGTAAACGTATTGGAAAAATATATTACTGTTAGGGGCTTCTTAGTGTCGAAGAACCTAGGTATAGCTTTGCAGCTTCAGTAGGCTCTGCCAGATTTTTCTGTCTTGAACGCTGTGCTTTCAAATTCTAGCACAGTCACTAACCATGGGGAAAAAACATCTAAAGTTTTGCTCTTGAGCATTGGGATGATTTCTGGTTATCAGCTTTATTTTCTTTTGGTGGTTGACACTGCTGATACCTGCCAACTAGTACCACCTAAAATGATTGGTTTTTTTTTTTTTTTAATTGCAACTGATTTGTTGTTATAAATATACTAGCCTCTTTTATACCTAGAGATTATTCTACAGCTAATTACAGGTCTTTGGTGTGGTTTCTCAGGCTTACAAAAAGTTTGGTGAATTACATGATATCAGAGGATGGTGCTCTGTAGCAAAGTTCATCATACTTTGCCTAGGGAATTGTTAGTTGAATTATTTTAAAGATACATAAAACATCTCTGGTATGCATTAAATAGTATTTAACTGCATCAGTAAGTGTATCCAGATGCTCGATAAAACTAGGCAATAAACAGTCATAAAGCCAAAGGCCTCATTATTCTTTTTCAGTGTTCTTTCCATCCCATCAGGTTCCTCACAGAAATTAAGTGATAGCAATCATCCTTGTCCTTTGTGCTCCATTTATCAGATCTTTCATGTTCATAAGCATAATGCCACTTCAACAGTAATGGGTGGTTGTATTTCTCTGCCTCTTGACCTTATTTTTCAAGAAACGGAAAAACCTGGTTCAGGTCTGATAGTCTGTGCTTCCTTCTATGCAGTTTGCTTTGTTATAGGTTCTTAAGGCCTGTTTCTACACATACACATATCAAAAACTGTTCTGTCTGCATTGTGTGAGCTTGTTTACTGTTGTCAGGGTTAGACTCCATATGGAAGAATATTTAAAAAATCCTTTTCTACGTTGTATTGCTAGTCGTAGTACAGATCATTTCTTTTCTTAGTGAAGTGAGCTTTTTGAAATGGAACCTAAGATTATTTGGTTCTTCCTTGGTAAATAAAAACAATTCTTCAAATTAGATTATACGTAGGAATTATAAAAGCAATTTTGCCTACTTTTATTTGCTAATAAAAACTTACCTCGCAGAGAGAATGAGCAATGCTATTTCCCTTCATGGCTGTAGGGTAACTTCATGGGAGATGTCTAGGTTTCTGAGCTATGTATGTGTAGATGCAATATTGCTGTACTGAGTCTGTCCTCTAACAAAATCTGTGGTGATTCCAGAGGGATCAAGATAAAGATTGGACTCCGAGAAGTGTTAAATTTACAGTTAATCTGCGGTTTACAGATATCCTGATGAATGGGTTTTTTTCTGTTGAAACAGCTTCTACTGGGGACTCTGCACTTGCATATAGTAGTCATTTTCCTTTGCTTATCATTGAATGTCCGGATTCTCCTAATCACGTTACTGGAAGCTGTTTTGGCTTTTTTGTATAAATTTTGTAAAACATGAAGGTCTGGTTTATATGTAATCAATTTAGGCATAACTAGCTTAGACCTGTCCTCTGTGATTTGTACTTCACCTGGCTAAGTTTTCACTGCTAGGTAGGGTTCCTTACTGCTCACGCATCCAGGTTGCCTTGCAGAGGAGATTCCTGGGTACCTGAGGAGTTGGGGTGAGTGTAAGCCGTGACCTAGCTTTCAGATAGGGTCTCTACTACTGAGGGAATACTGAGGGTATTAAAGGGATGGGATTGTGCAGTCCATCAGCATTCATCCATTCAATTCCTGCTTTAAGTCTTTGCAGTAAGTATGAAGCAAAACTACCTTCTCAGTAGAATCAAAGTTTAATACTGCTAGTGGATAATATTTCTCCTGCACCTTTTAGGCAGTAGAGATCTCAAAATGTGTGTGTACATATACTCATACACACACACACACACACACACACACACACACACACACACACACACACGCATATATACATGTAAAATGGGTTCTCATTATTTATTGATGCTTTCCTGCAATAACTAAAATTCCCTTGAACATCATCTAATGGTATGATAATGTCTTTATGTACTAATAGAAATGCTGGAAAAATGGCAGCAAAGATCTTTTATACTTACTAGTTAATCTCTTTGCTGCTTTATCTGCACTCTTCACTTCATTTTTTTACCTTTCTCTGGCCTTAAGGCAGAAATTAAATTTCATTTATTCTTCTTTAGCTATGTCATGTGGTATGGCTAATCATTCCCTTCTTGATTTTATAAATCCAAAATTGTTTCTCTGTTTGTACAAAGATTTGATAGTAGCTTCCTGCAGTTTTCTGTATCTCAGAACAACTATTGCAGCATTCGATTTTAATAATTCCATCAAGTGACTCCTTTTTTATAAGGACAGCATATTTCTCCCCAAAATAAAATTTTTTATGCCAAATGAGAGCTTGCAGTTATTTTCTCCATGCTGCCCATTGTTGAAAAGTACTTTACTTCTGCATTCTGCGTAGGGCTTTTTTCCCTTTAAATACGTTAATACAATCAAGAATCAAGACAATAGTTTTGATAGAATGTCTGAAAGAAGTTTAGCACTGAAAGCTAATCATGTATATTAAGAGCAATATGTACATGTGTATGTCCGTGTGTATGTGCTTAGTGCTTTCAGTCATTTCTTTTTGCTATCTATGGGCTTGAGAAAGCAGTAAGGATGAAATGATACTAAATTTCTACGTTGTTTCTTTTCTTTGTTACATAGGCTATCCACTCTGTGGCGTGGCATCATGAAGGAAAACAATTTATTTGTAGTCACTCAGATGGTACCTTGACCATATGGAATGTAAAATCTCCTACCAAACCATTTCAGACAATCACTCCACATGGTAAGATGGAAATGGGTACCTACCATTTCTGACAGCTCTTAAAACAGAGCAAAAATAGTATTTTACACTTATTTTAATAGAAACATTTTTTACAAAACCAGGTTTTTAAAATCCACTTGTTCAGTGCAAGCTAAAAATATTTTAGCTCTCTCATATCAACTTCCGATAGTTTTCATTTAAGAAAAACCAAGGGATTATGAAATAAGAAAGTACAAATCGGTGCAGTGATGTCTAAATCTCTGAACTTGGATTCTTCAAATTATGACATTGTTCTTAATTTTAACTAATGCATATTTTGCCAGGCTTGCATTTTGCTTGACGTTACAGTCCCATTTGTTGCTTAAAATACATATAAGTGAGCATCTGTTTCATGTATAAAGCTGTAGATTACCATACAAAATCTTGGAAAGGTTTATAACAATAAAACTAACGTCTGGTCAGATGTTCCCAATTCTCAAATAAATGCGTATTGATTTTGGACTAGGAAATTAGCATTACATGTTGTTCTTAGGTGAAGTATGTTGCTGCTCTTCCAAAAAAAAAAAAAAAATTGTGGTGTGTATGTGTCTGGATCATGTGTGTTAGCAGTTTATTTTCCTCAGACTCTTAAGTGTGAGGATCATCTGCAGGCTACAGTTACAGTATAAGATGCTGTAGTTAAGCCTCCCAGTTTACCTGTCGGAGCCTTCAGCAAGTCTTTGATTACTGGGTTGGCTGCAGACCCTGTTGTCCAGAGCGGAAAGAGGAAGCAGTGGGTATCTCATCGTCCTGTAGCAGTCAAAAAATAACAACTGACTGCTGTTATGGTAGTGAGATTAGTTGGACAAGACTATTATGCTTTGGTCTCTCTCAATAACCATTTATATTTTGATCCTGGACTGCAACTTAAATTTTCTGCAAAATTTTGCAGGTTGTATCAAATTTGATGAATGTACAGATGGAAAGGATATATATTTACACTGTACTCTTCTACTGTGTCCATGGGAAGTTGAATCTGTAGAAACTTTAGTTACTAATAGTGCACAGTAAAAAAAAATAATTTGCTTTCAAATTCAAGTCTTAGCTCATAAGGATGCCAGTCAGAATAAACCTCAGTTTGCTTTTAAGTTGAGCAATTTTAATTACAAAATAGTAGGCATGAGGTAGATTTTAAATCTTCCGGTGGTACTTACAATGACTTTTCAGAGGAAGATTTTATTTTTAAAAACAAATATTCTACAACACTTATAGATATATCTATATATATATAATGTGCTGACAGTGTCAGCAAATCTTCAATGCTATTATTTCAAGGCATACGCTGTATTTGTTAGAGGTGTGAAATATCTTGTGCGAATGTTCTATTTTGTAAATTGCACAGGGAACTTCATAATTTTTCTTCATGTTATAGAATTGTAAGTTTAACAGAAGAAAATAATTTGCTTTAGGAAAGCAGCTGAAGGATGGAAAGAAGCCAGAACCTTGCAAACCTATCCTTAAGGTGGAATATAAAACAACGAGAGCTGGGTAAGACTTGTTTTGAGTGTAAAATTAAAACGCATACAATAAACAGTACTCTGAGAATATCCTTTGTGACTCTTAGTTGTTGGGATATGTTGGCACTGAGCTATGGTAAAACAGCAGAAATAGTTTTGATAGGTCACAGATATTGTTGAATAAACCGCAAAAACATTTGTGAACAAATTACTAAACACAAACCTGAACTTGATTAAAGATTTTGTTTGCTAATGCGCTATCTATATGCAGCTTCCCTGCTGCTAAGAATAACTCAGGTATATTTTTGCCCAGTCTTCTGAGAATATTGTCTGTTAAAGAAAAAAGACTGACAGCACAGAAGCTTAGTGTTTTGGAGACCTAAAAAACTGAATTTCAACAAATATTGGCCTAATGCAAATATTCTAAACTCTGAACACACGTTGCAGTCACAAAAATGTTACTGACAGAAGTTTTTTGGGTGGAGCGCTGTTATTTATGCAGTGAATTGTGCCTAATTATGCACATTGAGAATGCAACAAAGCTGTAATTGCCACAAGAGGCTGATGGAATCGCTGTATCTTCAGTAGCATATTTTGTTACCAAGACTGCAATTAGGCTTGCAAGATTTCATGTACTGTATGGAATTTTTTTTAGGGGTCTAGAATACTTTAAAGTGGTTGAATAAAAGATGCAATTTAGTGATGAAATATACATGGTGACTTGTTCAGCTGTTTGCAGATGTTAATTTTTCTTGACTTATTTTATTTTCTTTTGACTTTTTTTGGCTTTATATATTGTTTTGTTTAATTTCCAGGCATTCAAATCTATAAAGGATTGCCACTTAATTGATGTAGTATAGGCTTCTACTATATATGAGTATACCCATACAGATAATTTCAGTAGTTGTATGTATTTTTATTGTTTACTAAAGTGAGATAAATAGAAATTTAAGACTTTGGCTAGTTTTCACATATTTGAATATCTGTGATCAGTTGGAAAATCATATTTTGCTTGCAGCAATCTACATCTGTCCACATATTTCTTTTCAGTAGTGGTTATTCAATGTTTTTACACAACAGTATGATGTTTAAAGAGTGGAAAACTCAACTGAAATGTCAGAAGCTAACCTAAATAAAGGTACAGAATCCTGAAAGATAGCCTAAAAGGTAGCCTCAACTTTAGCAAGTTTCGGTTTCCAATTTCTGCAGTCAAAAGCCCTCTGTTATGAGCAGTCATTGTGAAGAAGATTTATTTGAAGCTTGCCTTAATGTAATTATAATATTGTAATGTGAAAACTAATTGAATTTTCATAGAATTTAGAAAGTTTGTTTTATTACAATGTCTAAGAACATAGAGCTTTTTAGGGGGGCTACTCTTTCCTGGTATGGACTTTCTTCAGTTGTACTCATTACTTTCCAGTGTTCATACAAAGTGATGGTTTTGATGCATTGCAATTTGATGTTTTCTGTCTTTGATTTTTTTCATCTTCAGTGTACTTCTAAATTTATAATGGTTGTGATATTCTTCCAGAACTTTAGCAAGAAATATTAAATAACAGAATTTGCCCTGTGGTGTGGAAGCAATGCACTGGAAATATCTATTCATTTATTGTTACATGTGCTTCAGTTCATGCATCTATTTTTGATTCCAATAGTGCTCTGTCTTATTACAGAAATTTTAAAGCAAAGCTGAGTTACCTTTCAATACTTAAGATTTATATCATTTTCTCTTTACCATTTGAAATTGATTAGCTGCAGACATGACACAATTTTGTGGTTTAATTAACTTCTGTAGGGCAACTCATGTTAATTTATGTATCCTGCACCAGGCCAAAGTTTTTCTAGCCTGCTCGGACAAAAAGCAAATAGTTCTGCTTTTGTAGCAGTCTGCTCTACGTGTCCTTCAAGGAAAAAAAAAATGCAGCATACTTAAAAGATATGCCATTTACTATAATGCATATTTAAATTATTTCACCCAGTTTCTTATATTGTGAAGAACAGTGTGTAACCATTACCTCTTCGCTTTTTCCACGCTCTATATGGAGGTCTAACATCTTCCTACCATCCTGTCTTCTTTCTCTTCCTTTATCTGGAGTGGCCTGGTTTGTGTTTTAGTATCTCCTCATGTGGAAACCATTTCATAGTGTATAATCTTCCTTGTAATCATTTTCTTTACTGCTTCTAATTCTCATAAAGATCCTTTTTTGAGAAAAGGTGACCAGAACCGCACACAAGGAAAGAGCATAACTGACTGCAACCTGTAGTAGGAGCTGCAGGCACTTTCTATTGTTGCAGCTTCTGTTAATCCCTTCTCACTTTTTTTGCTTCATCCTCTGTACTATGAAGCTGGAGGGGAGAAAACAGGAGGACATGAGTGGTTTCCTAGTGCTTACAGACTTCCTGTTTATCTTTTGAGGTTGTTTTTTTTTTTAATCTATTGCAGATAGCTTTGAAGACTTCATTGGAGCTAAAGTTTTGTTTACCCTACAACTGTAGTATGTCTGCAGCTTTATTTTCTAGGAGAATGTTGTATCTGTAGAAAGGTTTCTATTGCCAGTTCTCCTATCCTGGGACCAGGAGGTGAAAAAGGCAAGGTCTTGGTATATCCCGTGTGCAAACTGGCAATTTTCCAGTCCCAGGTCATAACACTGTTGTCTCCAACTATTTAAGGTCACCTAAAGCATTCCATCTCTCTGTGGAGCAGTGTGTTCCAAAGGTAGGTTCCCATCTGAACTCATGGATGGTTCCCATGTTTCCTTGTAGGCATACTTTTCTGTCTAAAGTGAATCCAGAGGAGGAGCACTTCCTAACACTGATTTGCCACCCCTAGATTCAGTCCCTCAGTATTTACTCTAGCAGTACCTTGGAAAAAAATGCCTAAGACGTTGCTCAACTTCTAATACCATAATGCGATAGACATAGATGCATTAATTTTCAGAGCCGTAATTATCAGTAGCTGATGGTGGTTTTGGTAAAGTTGTACAACTGATGAAGTGAATTTGATTTTGATACAGCAACAGACCTAGCATCTAATTTACCACCATGGTAAAACTGCCCAAGCTGCTGCTTCAGTACTGGAGCTCTGTGCAATAGGAATTACAGTTCAAAAGGCTCCGTGTAATCATAATCAAAGAGGGCACTCTGTCAGTAGGCAGTGTAGCTTTCATGAGTGGTGGTACAGCAGCAGGTCTTAGCAAGAGTAATATATATAACTGGGACCTAGATGTGGCAAGAATAATGATAAGATCTCTAGATACATAAAAGTCACTGATTTATTAATTTAGTTCAAATACTACAATTTTGTTGTGTGAGCTTGTCAGCTCAAAAACACACTTACCAGATTGAACCTACAAGTTATTTTCACTACTTTTTTTTTTTTTTTTTTTAAGACTTCCAGTCCTAAACTAACTCTTGACATCTTTGCTGCCTGTATTTCTTAAGATTAACTTCTTATAATAACAATTTGCAGAAGTAGATACATGGTGGATTTGCATGAAGGTCTTTCACATGTGGTTTGAAAAACAAGCCGGCTGATATGAATGGCCTGCCCTCTCACATCCAAATTGCCAGAAACTCACTCAGGTTTACCAGTTTTCTTCTAAAATTAAGCAGAAGCATCCTCCAGGTTTTTGAGCCTCTGATCTCTGTTGTATTAAGTTTTCTTACACTAATCTTTCACTGTAAGATTTAATCTTGTATTTTTGGAAAATAGTTATCTTTTCAAAGAAACATTCCCCCCTTTTTAGTAATTTTTCCGCAATGTTCCACAGTAATTTTACAGACTCGACTGATGTGCAAGTTAATACAAAGAAATTGCTTCCATACCTACTGAAGTGGAACCACTTCGAAGAGGAGTCTCTTGTATGTTAGCATCTACTATAGAAGCTCTTTAAGAAAGTGTTGAGCACTCTTTCCTGTTAAATGTTTTCCATGGTTTCCAGTAGGCAAAAATGTAACTACCAAAGTTGGATCAAAATCATGTATTACGCACAGTACAAAAATTTTTAGATTTTTTTAAAATCATGCATTTATACTAAAAAATGGTGTGCAGTAACCTTTTAATATGTATCACAGTTACAAGACAGCATTTTCATTTAAGTATTTAATCAGAAGACCCACAGCTTGTGTTGTAGTAAATCCGTGGTTTCATGCAGATATGAAAAAAAATTCAGTTAGTCTTTCTGCCTGACTAAAGTCAGCTTTAATCTTTGACTTATCTTTGAAAAATCTGTGATGGATTCCTGTAATCTGTTCCCTAGTTCGTCCATTCTTTGCCTCATAAAGATACAGACTAGCAAGCCTGCCAAAAGCAACCTATTACCTTGAGAAATTAATCTAGTAGAAATAGCAGAAACACTGTGATGTATAATGCTTTGAAGGTGAAATTTGTAATTTTATTACTGTCAATTGATCCTGGTGAATCGGAGAGTGTAATAATTAATGCAAAATTGTCAATACTTTTTAAACTGATTTTGGGAAAGCAGAAAATACCCCAGCAAAATGAGATACTGCATTTGAAATATGTGACTGATACTCCGAAATGTTTGTGTTAAATCTTGGATCAGAGAGGTTTCTGAAGGATCAGGCAGACTGTGAAATACCTGTAGACATTGAGAGCTAGCCCAGTTTGCTTCACCTTCAATAGCACAAGCAAAGAGCATGTTTTCAGCTAGGCTTTTAATTCATAAGGGCCAGCATGTGCATAAACAAAGCCCTGCATGCACAGTTCTGCTCAAGAAGAAAGAGGTACCTAATCTGTCATGTTTGTTTTTCAAACACTAACCTAGTGAGAGCTACTTAGACATTATGGGAAACAGGGTATTATGGGAACACACAAACAGATAAAACATCTTTTCAGTCTTATATTTGCTGTGTATCCCGGTGGGTTTTTTTCCCTAAAATTTTCTCCAATGACTGTCATGTTAGCTGCTTTCATTTAAGACAAATGCAAACAAAGGGGTAGGATTCATATTATTCTAGAGTGGACATAAAAGTAGGTTAGAGGAATTGTACCCTCTGTTTTTTCTCCACAAATATAACCTGGAATTTGAGGCAGTAATTGTCAATAGTGGGTGAAATTTCTGGATCAGGTATAATTTATAAACAGTCAGTCAACTCTTTAAAAAAGGTATTGTGCCCTGTTTTTAAACAAACATAGTATTAAAATGAATGTTGACTTTTATGTTCAATAAGGAAACGATAAAGTACCTATTAAAATGGATATATTCATCTTTGACATTATTTTTTCATTAAATGAGCTATTAAACTGTTTATTATGTCTATACTAGAGAAGATATGGATGCATTTTGTAATATGTTTCTGTAAAGACTAAAACATTTTTTGACAGGAAGCCCATAATTTCTTTTCTCAAAACTAGAGGAAATAATTTGCTTTGCTCAACTCAGTCATTTAATTAGCCGCAGAAATTCTGTCTGTGTGATAGAAATGGGGCCTTGAACTTTGCATACAGTGGTAGAGGAAGAATAGATAAAAAGTCTAGAATAAATGCATAATGAGAGAAGTAAATATCTAGAATAAGTGTATAAAGAGAGAAATATGGGCACTTATGTATGCCTTTACTTCTTAAAGTTATGTCTTTAAAGTATATCAAGCAACTGGTTGTTTCCCCAAGACAACCATGTTGTTATAACCGCAGAATTACTGTGCACTATTTGCAAAATTGTTTGTACTTCAGATTTTAGGATAATTATATGCAAAAAATAAAAATTATGGCACTATTCCTTCCTGACCCTACCAAAACATTTTATGTTGTGGAAGCAGGTGTCTGTTGGCAATTCTGAATCTGCAGTTCAGTATAAAAAAAATTCTAATACTTAACCAAAAAAAAAAAAAAAGAATTGCTAAGATTAAATGAGCACAATGGAACAAAAGGTCTGGAGGAGGAGTCTGAAGATCTACAGCTCAAGTTACAGTCTTCTAACTCTGTTTAAATTTTGAAATATATACCCAGACTGCCCATTGCATGAAAAGCTGTTTTGCATTATGCTTAATATATCCAGCTGAACTTCATTATAGGATTACAAAAACTGACCAGTCTCTTCTTTTTATGTATTACCTTGGTTTGATCCTAAATTCCTCTGCTTTATTCCAGGGAGCCTTTCATCATTCTCTCAGGAGGTTTATCATACGACACTGTAGGAAGAAGGCCCTGTTTAACAGTTATGCATGGGAAAAGTACTGCTGTGCTAGAAATGGATTATTCTATTGTTGATTTTCTAACTCTCTGTGAAACGCCGTATCCTAATGGTAGGCTCTGGAAAGATTTTTCTCAGTACTTCTACCTCTTCTCTCTGAATTTTTATGCCATTAGAATATTCTTTACTGTTGGCTTTCTGTTTTATCTCTGGGGATCAAACCACAGCAGCAACATCTGTTATCCCTATTGTCTAAGGTCTGTGTTGCTTCCCAAAACATCATCGTGGAGTAGTTTATTAAGAAGTGTATTTTGCTTCTAGAAGAATGATGATTCTGAGTTGCGTGGGCTTTCGTTTCTTTAACCCCCAAATCCTGTGCAGACAGAAAGTAACATTACAATTTTAAGCTATAGTAATTGCAGATTTGTTCATCAATATTTATTAGCTCATATAAGACCTTTCCAGTCAATGCTAAATCATGATGAGCGTTTGTGTAGTGCTCTTAACTTTTAGTGACTTTATTAGTCATTCCAATATTCACATGAAGTTCATCACTAACCTGTAATCTCTTTTCTGCAGAGGGGGAATTTTTATCATAGATTAAGTAGTTCTCCCAGATTAGTAGCGTTATATTTCTGAACTCCGATGTTGTCAGTTCATTTGTTGTCAGCTTCAGAGTATGCAGAGCTGCTTATCTCAGGTCTGTATAAAGGAGGGAAAGCAAAACTTTGGAAACTGCCTTTCATCTTTCTTATTTTAGTGTTAGGTGAGTTGTTTTTCAGTCCTTTTTGTAAGCAATTAGTTTCATTATTGCTGCTAAACCCCACGGTGAATTTGAAGAAAAGCAGTTGGGGATAAGGAGATGTTATCGTTCAGTAACTGGCTCTTTGTCAAAATCCTGCAGGTTTTTTTTCCTGTTATTTTATCTGGTTACATGTTTATAGCTGAATTGGAAAGGAGTTGGGAATATTGAGCTAAAAGGAGAGCGTGACTTTTACAGACTTGGAGTGTTTGGGGGGTGAGCGTGTGAAATATCTTCAGAAACTGTGTAGTCATCAAAAAACTTTTCTGTCCTTGACTGATGAACTGCAATGACTGATCGTATGCTTGAGATTGTGCGTGCAAAGAACTACATTTACAGGTAGGTAACTTTTTTTCTTTTTTTTAGACTTTCAGGAACCATATGCTGTAGTTGTTCTTCTAGAAAAGGACTTAGTGCTGATTGACCTTGCACAAAACGGGTAAGAATCTTAGGTCATCTTTTTAATGGCTGGCTGCAGTGGTCAACTCAGCTTTCTGCTCTTCAGTATTTTAATGCACCATGCTGTGATGGATTGAATAGTAGATATAAAGTTTCCTGAATAAAGCTGAGTACCTTTATAAGTCAGCTTTTCATGAGTAAATAGATAGTAGATAAGTAGAACGTTAAGTGACTTTTCCATGCTTGATTGACCAACAGAAATTAGTAGTAGATCACTTGTGCTTTTTAATTATGACAGTTTATTTTCAAGTTGACTCCTTAGTGCTACCATTGTAATTTTTTTTAAGGTAAAATATCCTGTATTTTCACAAACAAAAGTGAAAATGGGAAGCCTGTCAGAAGACCCTCTCCTTTGGCAGTGCAGGACTGTTTCCCACAAGAGTGATTGCTCACCTGTGCTTTTTATTTCTAGATGAGAGAGATAAACTGTATTACAATAGTGAAGCGTCTCACAGTTTAAGCAGTAAGTTTTTGGCTAGCTACTGTTCAGTTTTGGGTTCTCTTAGTATATCAGAAGGCCTTCTTAATGATCTTAACAAAATTTAACTGTTAATTCTAAATCTGAGCTGTGAACAGAAGCTTCATCCCTCTCTGCATTAAATATTTTAGATGTAAGTACATCTGCGACAAAAACCACAGAGGTACTTGCAAACAATAAGTACATCTGTGATAAAAATTGCAGAGGTACTTGCGAACAACAAACAGGCAAACAACAGCAAACAGGAAAGGTAGATGGAATTAGCTTGATACAAATTTTGGAGGAGGTGAAAGACAGTGGAGAAAACTTAATATATTGGGGGGTTAAGTCCTCCTTATGGAGGAGATAACAAGTGTTAGAAGTACAGAATAGAAGTTGAATTGAATAGCGTAGATTCCTTTCTAATATATCATAGTTTTATCTGTTTGCTTTAGTTTGTATCTACTTACTCTTGTCCTAGTAGAAAATTCAGTACTTTGTTACTAAGAAAGTATTACTATCTGATGTAGACCTCAACATCCTCCCTCCCCAAAAAAGAAGGAAAAGACCATATGCATTTCTCTGGAGACGAATATTCTCTGAACATAGATATATACTTCTATATATATATCGGTTGATTACTATTGACTTCTTTCTCATTCAGGCTCTGTCACTTTTCTGATGGAGGTGATGGGGGACATGTATGTGTGCTTCTGTTTGCTTCTAATTGGTAACTGAGAGTTGCTATTACTAAATGTTAGAAAGTGATCTTGGAGTTGCAAGTAGGTTGTGAAACATAGAAGTGCCGTCTTCCTATCTTTCCCCTGGAAGAATAAACCTAAAAATTAGAAATGAATTCATAGCTGCAGAATGTTACAATTGGGACTGGATAACTTCAGTTCTTCTACACATCTTCAGAATAGTAAGCGTTAAAAAGCTAAACTGAAAAAGATGAGAAATACCAATGTTCTAAGCGTATTTTAGAAGCAGTGCAAACTTCAAGTTCCAGGTAGAGATCTACAGTATCTTGGTAGTGTGCTTGATAAGCAGTCAAGTTACATAGTATATTCATTCATAGCCTAATTTTATATGCATTTATTTTCCTTTGTACAAAATGAATGTAAACTTACAGGCCTCAGTGTTTCACTCGTGAAATTTTAAAAACTACATTAAAAAACCCTGCTTTTCCTAGATTAACTGTCTTCCCCTTTCATCCATTAAAGGTACCCCATATTTGAGAATCCCTATCCTTTGACTATACACGAGTCTCCGGTTACCTGTTGTGAATATTTTGCTGATTGTCCTGTGGACCTCATACCTGCACTCTATTCAGTGGGGGCTCGACAGAAGCGTCAAGGTTACAGTAAAAAGGTACAACATCTAGTACATACGTATGTATTTGAAAATATTAAAAATTAACTGCTATAAAATATTTAAGCATGACCATACTAATATCAAAGTTCCACCTGACTTGTTATGCTCTCCTTGGCTGTGGCTAGTAGAAGATGCCTAGAGAGAATAGAGCATAAGGCAAGCGTATAGTCATGCTTCCCTGATGTGCTTCCATCAGTTGCCAGATTACTGCAAACTAGGAGCCTTCTGAGGCGAGGGGTGCTGTTCATAGCCTGCGTTGATTTTTCTCTTCAGTGGATTTGCCTAATTACTTCTTGAACTTGTGTGAAATACTGGCATCTGTAATGTCTTGTGGCAGTAATTTCAATGGCTTAACTGTGCGTGGTATGATATTTTCTTCCTCAGTCTATGTGTTAATATTCTAGGAATGGCCTATCAGTGGAGGCAACTGGGGTTTGGTTACTCAGAGCTATCCAGAGATAATTATTACAGGGTAAGTGACACAGTCGTGTAGTAACTTCCTTAGTTGATTAAACAGAAATGAGAGTATTCTGTTCCTTTTTTAGAAAACAGTGTTCTAGAAGGGTGGTGTGAATGGTTCAAGAAATTATATTCACTGAACAAGTCATTTGCATAATATTTTTGAGGAGTTAAAAGGAAAGTAAAGCAAAATACGGAAGAGAAGGTAGAGGAGCAGCATAATAGCAGGGGTCTTATAGAGATTATTATTCCAAAGTGGTATTGTGATTGTATCTGTTTGCTTTCAATACATTCTGGAAACGTTTCCTTTATTCTTTAACGTCTGGGGAATATTTGAGCTGTGTTTAAAGCATATGAAGTTCATTAAATAGTTACTGAATTCAGAAGCCAAGCTTTTTATTTTAAAAAGGGCAACCAAATGCTTAAATTGGTTCATTTTGATCTTTTTCAGACATATCCTTCTAAATCCATTGTAAAGAGTAAAATTAAAATTTAGTGGATAATGTCCACGCAGCATGTAACTGAAAGGGAGAGAGCACTACTAAAGCTTTCTTAGAACAATCCGTTAGGCCTAATGAGGTTTGATGGTCAGGTTATAGTAGGTATTGGAGAGACTTTGAGACAGTGCTGAAAAATTTAGTCCTCCATCAATTTCAGGGGTAAAAAAAACAAGTTAGGTGATTTGTTCACACTGAAACATGGTTAATTTAGGCATCTCCTTTAAAAGTGTCAGTCCAATTAAGGACAGCCTTTAAGAAACAGCGTGTAATAAGATCTATTAAACTGTTTATCAGAAATGCAGGTAACTCAAAATCAGTTTTTAAAATGGCAAATTAGTACAATGGAATTTCAGTGAGTTGCTTCCATATGAGTGTTTTTTTTTTTTTAACCCTTGTGTCTAAAATGAAATGAGGCATATTTTATAAAATACTACCTTCCAATAAATAGTTGCAATACAGTTTTAGCTATATATTTTAATCAGTTAGTAACCAGTAGCGCTAACTCTCCAACTAACTGTTTTACCATCTTATTAATTCTTTAATATTTCATAGGCATGCTGATGGGTCAATCAAGTTTTGGGATGCCTCTGCAAGTAAGTGTTTTCAGTAGAGAATTTTTTTGTTCAATAGGAGTTTTCTAAACTTACTGATTTCTCTAATGGAATGTAATTACTAACTAGTCATTCTCATATTTCCTGCTTCTTATATAGTCAGTACCGTATAGGAATCTTTTATTTAAATTAAATAAAATTAACATGGTATGTTTGTTAAATGTTTGGCTGATATTTAGTACCTCAGTGAAAATGCAGTAGTGATTCAAGGGCCAGCTAGAAGGGAAGTACTTTAGAATTTTCAGAAGCATCTTATTCAGCATACAGATGAATGACAGGCAAATGCATTTATTTTTAGTACAACTGAATTTCAGTGAGTTATTTCCATATTATTACTGCCTAAAACAAAATTGAGGCATGTGTTTGTAAAACACCAGCTCCCAATATGTGGTTATTTAAAAACGAAAATCAGAACCAATACTAATTTGAGCTAGTACAACAGTATAGGCATTTATAAAGAAAAACAGGAGAACAGTAAAATAGGCAGATTTTTTTTTCTTTGGTGGATCACTGAATAAGGCTGAAGAGTCTGATATTGTTCTACGTTTCTCTCCAGTTAAAGACTGTATTGCATCTGATGGTCTCCACAGCCAATAGTTGAGGAATGCAGTAAGATTTAAATCTAGAATGTACGCATGAGTTAGATAAGTTAGATATTTTAAAACATCTAGTTCTGACTAAACTTACCCTTAGTCCTTAAAACCTGACTGAAGCAATCTTGGAATCATTAACAATGTTCTTTAAAAACTTCTGGAAGACTGTTGAGCTTCCAAAATGCTGAGGGGTGTGTGGGGGTGGGAAGGAACAGATGCAATGTATATGTTTAAAAACAGGGAGGGGGAGTATTTGGAGTGTTAGAGATTTTAATTTCACTTTGGGATGGGGGTGGAACCTGGAATAAACAAACTGACTCTGTGTGCTAAAAAAATACTCAGCGTAGATCTGTCAAGAACAAATCCTATTAAAGCTATTTAATTTCCTTTAAAACAGGTTAATAGGCCTGACAGAGGAGAAATTGTAGGCATGCTGTGTCTTGATTTTAAACCTTTTAGATTTCTCTGTCCAGCACAGTCTTATAGACAAACTAGGGAAATGTGATTCAGATGAAACCACTGAAATATGGAGGAAGTATATATTAAGCAGGTTTTCACACAGATAGCATTTATATTTGTTTTAGTGGTTTGGATGATTGACTAGTCAATGTGCCTGTGAAGTTTGAAAACAACACCATGACAGTTGCAAGCGTGCTGGAAGAAGGAATTGGAATTAAAATTCAGAGTGATGTTGCTAACTGTTAAATAGTATCCCAGATCTTTGAGGACAGGACCAAGGATTTACACTGTGAATGAGATGGAAAAAACCCTGGAATTCTAATGGGGTGCAGATTAGATAAATCTTTTCTGTGTCAGTGTTGCCAAAAAAGAAAAAAAAAAAAAAAAGAAAATCATGTTGGGATACAGAAATGGAAATACCATCTATTAAAGCTACCACAAAGTAATTTTTCCACAATCTTCAACTGTGGTAAAGCCTCACTAGTTTTGGGAAAAGCACTGTGAAGAAAATCATGGACTAATTGAAGAGGGCAGTATTTTGAATGATCAGAAACCCAAAAGAAAAAGATTGGCAGAGTTCAGGTTTAGTCTAAGAACGCAGAGGAGAGGATGTGGATTTGAAATACTGTAAAGCAAAAGGGAAGGAACTTCACTTTGTCCACTGTAAGTAGGCTTACGATGTGGTGTGACAGATATAACTGGATGTTATCATTAGAAAGTGATCCGTAAGTATAGTTAAGCTTGAGAAGTTGTGAAGATTTAGTTTATAACTTAAGCTTAGCTTATATCTCTCAGGAAGAGGTTTTGATGCTGGTTGATCCTGCCTTGGGCAGGCAGTGCACTAGATGACATTGCCAGGCCCTTTCAAACTTTCCTCACTAAGCACGCCTGGTCAAGTCAGCTGGTCTGAACCTAAGAGACTCTTCCTTTTTCTTGCCCTTATCAAAAGGGAATTAAATGCATTTAGCTTAATGCTGTGAGGTCTCGGTCTTTTTTTTTTCTTTTTCTTTTTCTTTTTCTTTTTTTTTTTTTTTGAACAAAGTCCCCGAACATAGTTATTTCTTTGAAGAGCTGGCAGTATCAACACACACAGTCAGTGCTTGCTCTCTGCCCTCCTTTGAACATAGTGGCTTTTCCTACGTAGAGAAGTTTGTTAATTTTTCGGATCTAGAAACGAGAAAAATACCTGTTTATATCAAACTAATTTTTCTTTCTTTTGGTTTGTTCCTAGTAACGCTGCAAGTACTTTATAAGCTAAAAACAGCCAAAGTATTTGAAAAATCGCGGAATAAGGATGACAGGCCGAACACAGACATAGTAGATGAAGATCCATATGCTATTCAGATCATCTCGTGGTGTCCAGAAAGTAGAATGCTCTGCATAGCTGGAGTTTCTGCACATGTCATTATTTACAGGTTCAGCAAGCAGGAAGTGACAACAGAAGTCGTTCCGGTAATTATATAACCATTTTAACTTCATAGGATTTAGCTATAATTAGATTTAGCAATTTTTTTTATGGTTTTTCATTGTGTTCATGAAATTGACTTTAAAAAAAACCCTTCAGAACTAATTTGTTTTTATGTGGGAAAAATAATAAATTATGAAATTCAGCAAAAGTGAAAATTATACACCAAGGTTTTGGTTTCCATTGACTTTGTCAAGTTCTGCTACCAGTGATAGGTCTTTGTTCTAATGATCAAAGCAAATAGTAGATCAAAACTTGGCTGTATCAATGATAAAATGTATTGCTATAAACAGACCTGGCAGTTATCCTCAAAGCTAAAACAGAAATAAGGAGATCTGGAGTTAAAGAATTCTCAAAGATGTTTGGGTTTCAGCTGGATCCTCAAAGGGAGACAGGCAAATTCAGTCTGTCTGTCTTTCAGAAATTCTGGTGGCCTTCTTTAAAACATTATGTACAGTGAAAACTTTCGAAAGTCTAATTTACAGTGCTTCCCTGTGCTGAATGTAGTTGATTCCAATTTTTTTGATTTGACTCCTAATAAATACCCTTTTTCTTGACAAGAATTCTGCAATATGCAGAACTACATCAGTAGGAAAGAAGCATGCCAGACATGCTCTAAGGTCTGTTAAGGACTTGACTTGCGCTGTTTGATTCTATATACAAGGCAATAAGATACAAAGATGGGTTTCATCGTAAAAGTTTGAGAAGTCCTATGTTAAATCAAGCATACAGTTGCACACATGCAATTTCACTTATAATCTGAATAATTAGCTGCAAGCTAACCCAAAGCCATTTAGTTTAAAATACCATGTGTTTTGAACAGTATTAATCACAATATAGTTCTTATTTTCTCTTATTCTCTCCCTTCAGAAAAGTGTCGGTTTAAGGAGATTAGGCATTTTTTTCCCCCTCTGGTGGTTACTTACATGCAATAGAAATATCTGAGGGAATGCTTTTCATAAATGATTTTTAAATATTAACAGCTAACTAATTTCTTCAATACTAGGAAAGTTTTAAAAATTATCATATGGTTCTTTTATATGTTTCAGTCCTTGAGTTAAGTTCTGCTTTACAGATGATGAAAATAGAACAAAGGAAAAACTACCTTTAAACTACACTATGATTAAGATTAATATTGTAATAGAAAAGCAGAAAGAAGTTTGAAATCGTGTTGAACTTGCTGTTCTTCAGAATGTTATAATCAAACTCAACGCAAAACTTACTAAACGTGGAATTAAGTCCAGGGTGTACAGTGCTACTAAATGAATAGACTAACTAAGCTATTTATATTCTTTACCTCTTG